AGCCAAGGCATGCGTACACAACGTTAAAGTCCTATGTACGAGGGGCGTTTCGGGGGTGGGGGGTTCAATTTTTAGACAAATTTTTGCGTACGTACTTATTGAATGGCCCCTTATCATTTATTACTAATTCTTAATCCCATTTGTTTAACCTTTGACTGCTAGCAGTGAACTGTGCTAATAATGTTGAGATTAAGAATAAGTAATAAATGATAAGAAGTGTTGAGTTTTAACAAATACTCTTTGTCTATGAAATAAAGGTTTAGATCAAACATTAGATACACAATCGAGAGACCCTAGATATGCTTGTGGTAGGCATCAACAAATTTAGGACAATGTTCGCCCAGGTAGGACAATGTTCGACAATGTTCGTAGATATCCCTTTCCAACGTTGTCAGTTTGATTGCCCTTAAATGTGTCAGTTTTGACAACTCATTCAATACCTCATCACTTGTGCGGTGGTTTTCAAACGACAAGTATTGGAGTTTCGGTAAATGTTGGCCAATGTTATCGAAAAACGAGTCATTCATATAGCACTCGACAGTAAACGTCAAATGTGTTAATCGTTTGCATTTATCCAATAAATGACTTCTTAATCTGTTGTAAAGGGTCTCATTAATCAGAATGTGGTTATCGTCCACCTCCTCCTCCTCCTCCTCCTCTGCCTGTCCAGAATTACCACAGAGATTACCACTGATTGTCAATCGCTTTTTTTGTGTGAAGTTGTCGTTAATTGTTTGCATCACATATTCATAGCATTCATAGAAATTCATATTAAAGCTGTTAATTGAGAAACTCTTGAGTTTACGGCAATTAATACCAATTTGTTTCATTTGATTAAACAGTAAATAATCGGTTTCTTCTGAATGTAAATCCAAAAAAAACCACTTCCACTCTATCTTTAGCTCAATTAATGCCTCCATTTGTGACAAACCTGTCATCACTATTGCGATGGACTTCTCATCGCAAGTATTGATCTCAATCTCAAGTGATTTCATTGACTTTTTATAGTTTTCAACAAATGTGTTAAAACTATTGACAACTTTATCGCTGAATTTGATATAAACTTTCTGTAGCTTATGAAATACAGTGTCCTGTAATACTTGTAGTAAATTATCATCATGGGTAATATCATAATGGCTATCATCTCGGATCTGTATTTGTGTTAAATTTGGACAACACTTTAGATTATTGTGAACACACTGTCTAATCATATTGTTTGTGTGGTCCATATAAAAGCAAATTATTTTCAATTGTTTGCCAAACTTCTCAATGAATCTCTCAATTGTCTCAATACTTGTATTTTCCTCGACAACTATACAAATATGGGTTAATTGATTGCAGTGCTCGACAATTGAGTCAAACACAGACTTATAATTCCAATTAACTCCATTGTCACTCCATTGTAGTAACTCCCTAACTAATTCAGAATAAGCCGAACCTTTGTAAATGATCTTGCTCAAGTTTTTGCATTTATTTAATATGAATTCAAATCCATTTTGTTTAATAGTGTAGTACTTTACCAATTTGTCGATCAATAACTCCGTTTGTGAGCTGTATATGAATCTCTCCCACTGTTTGCTCACACATTCAGTCTTTACTTTTTGGTCAATTGTTTGATAACTCAATATATGTTGACATAAATCATCACCAAATCTATCAAATGAATCCTTACTATATGTTTGACACATGTTTTATTACTTTTCAATAAATATAATTTGCCATTAATTTAAAAATTAGTATAAGTTACAATGATTTAATACATTATTAATTATAAAATGAAAGCCTTATTTCTCGACATAAATGCAATCCTTAATAAAACATGTCTACATTATTGTGATAACAGGTAATCCAATGTTACGGTATCATAGAAACCACATCAAAAATATTATCTCAAAAATAACTGTTTTTAGCAACTGAATATACAATAGTAGTATTTTGATGTGTTTTAAATGACAATATTTGTAATAAAAATAATATTGATTCTATTAATCAGTACAGTAATATTTGTGGTAGGCATCAACAAATTTAGGACAATTTTCGCCTAGGTAGTCTTGTTCACAAATATTCCTGTCCCACGTTCTCAATTTGATTGCCCTTAAATGTGTCAGTTTTGACAACTCATTCAATACCTCATCACTTGTGCAGTAGTTTTGAAACGACAAGTATTGAAGTTTCGGTAAATGTTGGCCAATGTTATCGAAAAACGAGTCATTCATATAATACTCGACAGTAAACGTGAGATGTGTTAATCGTTTGCATTTATCCAATAATACACTTCTTAGGGTCTCATTAATCATATTGTGGTTATCATCCATTTCCTCTGCCTGTCCGTAGAGATTACCACTGATTGTCAATCGCTTTATTTGTGTGAAGTTGTCGTTAATTGTTTGCATCACATATTCATAGCATTCATCGGAATTCATATTATAGCTATTAATTGAAAAACTCTTGAGTTTACGGCAATTAATACCAATTTGTTTGATTTGATTAAACAATAAATAATCGGATTCTTCTGAATGTGAATCCCAAGAGCTATGCCACCATATCTTTAGCTCAATTAATGCCTCCATTTGTGACAAACCTGTCATTACTATTGCGATGGACTTCTCATCGCAAGTGTTGATCTTAATCTTAAGTGATTTGAGTGTCTTTTTATAGTTTTTCACAAATGAGTTAAAACTTGTGCCATTCTTATCGCTATATTTAAAATAAACATTTTGTAACTTTTGATATAAAGTATCATTTAAAAGTTGCAATAAATTATCATCATCCCTATGTTCTCGGATCTGTATTTGTGTTAAATTTGGACAACACTTTAGATTATTGTGAACACACTGTCTAATCATATTGTTTGCGTCGCCCATATAAAAGCAAATTATTTTCAATTGTTTGCCAAACTTCTCAAAGAATCTCTCAATTGACTCAATACTTGTATTTTTATAAATAACTATACAAATATGGGTTAATTGATTGCAGTGCTCGACAATTGAGTCAAATACAGACTTATCTTGCTTCAATTTATAATAACATCCTGTGTAAACGATCTTGCTCAAATTTTTGCAATTATTTAATATGAATTCAAATCCATTTTGTTTAATATTGTAATAATCTATTAGTCTGTCGATCAATAACTCCGTTTGTGAGCTGTATATCAATCTCTGCCACTGTTTGCTCACACATTCAGTCATTACTTTTTGGTCAATTGTTTGATAACTCAATATATGTTGACATAAATCATCACCAAATCTATCAAATGAATCCTTACTATATACTTTAGACATGTTTTATAACTTTTTAAAAATTATTATAAATTACAATGATTTAATACATTATTAATTATAAAATGAAAGCCTTATTTCTCGACATGAATGCAATCCTTAAAATATGTCTACAATATTGTTATAACAGGTAATCCAATGTTACGGTATCATAGAAACCATATCAAAAATAATATCTCAATAAATAACTGCTTTCAACAACTGAATATACAATAGTATTATTTTGATATGGTTTTACAATAGTATCATACTTTAATATACTATTTATATATTGTATTTTATAATTAAATAATTAAAATGGGAAATAAAAACATTGAAACCACTGTTAAGATTGAAGATCAGCATAAATTATATGAGTTATGCAAAACACACTTAAGTGGCAAATGGGCCGACATTCATGAAAATGATTTAATTATAAAACCAATTACGTGAGTATTAATTAGTTTAACTACCGGAATATTTTATGCTAAAATATTTTTATACTATTTAGCACTGGTTTTATAAATAAATTATTTTGCTGTTCTCTACCCAAAAATGTGGACCAAGAATATAACAAAGTAGTGGTCAGGTATCACCACTTTGATCACATAAAAGACTTTGTCTGCGAAACTCATGTATTTGTCAAGAGTTTGATATTATCTGAGATGAAAATAGCACCAAAATTGTTGAGTGTTTTTAACAGTGGACTTATCAGCGAGTATATCGATGTATGTCATAATACTATAAAAATAATGTACATATAAATACAGTAATACAAACTATATTTAATTAAACATAGTTCCGATACCTCAATACCAGTGATGACCACAACCCCAAAACAGTGGCACTGTTAGCCCAAAAATTGGCTAAATTTCATTCACTGAATATTCCGATACCTAAAGACAGTACTAAAGAAGCCGTAGATTTTGATAAATGGTTTCCCGAAACATACAGACAATCATTACTGGAGGGAAAGGTTCGACAAGAGATTGTCACCAAGAATTTGACCACATTTTTGACACTCAATCTGTTGGATGAGATGCCATGGATTGGGGAACGGGTGCTGAGAGTGAAGAGTCCGGTAGTCTTTTCGCACAATGACTTCAACCGAACAAATATATTAATTCGTGAATCAAATGATAATAAATCACAGAATTTAGAGATATTTTTCATAGACTTTGACTACAG